ACTTCTAAAGTATAAGCCAACAAATGAGTCAGTGCCTAGTTTCAAGCTGAGGTTTCATCACAGACTTGGTTTGTCAACTTGGGCATATGCCTGTCCCTTAAGTTCTTCTGGTTCCCCATCTRTGAGACAGAATAAATACACCACCAAGTGCACAACAGAATTAATATCTTATCATCTATCAAACAAGCACTTTCTTTGGAGGTCTTATGGTACCTAACTGAAAGTTGAATTTTGATCCACAAGTGGGTTGAATTACATGAACTCTACGTCTGTARTCATTACAGAAAACATTATTCGCCTCTTAAGGGTATCAGTATATTAAAGGGTTAGCATTTATATAAGAAATTACTCAAAAAAGTACATTGCTGAGCAAGCCTACCCATTACTGTGCAAAAGAATTACTTGACTCTGAACTTTATATGCCACTTCTTACCTTCCCTGTTTTGTCTTCTACTATGTTAGGAAAATATAATAGAATTAAAAACAGAAAGGAAAGACATTCAGTTACCAACCTTTAAAAACCTATTACAGCCAAAGATAAAATACAAAAGGAATTACTGGATCCATGTCTTTATCTCAGAACAATTTAAACTAAAGAAAAATTCCTAATTTAGATTGTTGTTATTCAAAACAAACAAAATCTATATGTTACCTTGGGAAAAATCTGATGTTGTCTCTGAGATTACCTGAAATAATATATATTTTTTTTTTCTTACATGGAAAAAACTTCATCTCCAGTCTGGTTAGAATCCTTAATCCAGTTTTWAGTAAGATTTAAGCTTTTAAGAACAGTTAACAGTCAATAAATAAACACTCCAAAAACTCATTTATGCACAGAGTGTTTCTCTCTTGAAATATTGTACTGTTGCTAAAATTTCATTTAGACAAAAGGTTGTTCACCTTCTAGCAAAGATACCATTATAGAAAACAAAKGAGAGGAGATACCTCTGACTCACAGAAAGAATCCTAGCTGACTGATCTGGGAATGATCTTCAGAATTACCTCAATATTTATTCTCGGTGCAGTCCAGCAATTAAACAAATAGTTTTATACATAGAAATAGGGATCGGCTTAGCTTACTTTTGCAGGCTTATTTTCAGAGGGAGACGCAGAAAATGCACGGGCTCATATTACCCAGCACAGCAGATTTTCTCTTTGCATGTTCACTTGTGTATGAATATGCAAATGCACAGGGGTTATAAGTTATCAGTAATGCTGATAATGAGGGAAGTCAGAGATTYCTGTTGCACAGCAGTTGAAATTCCTCTGCTTGGAGTCGCAATGCGCACAATTTTCAAGGTACTTTAAATATGCCAGGGATCCATAGGAAAGTGAAGGGGATGAGAGAAAAAAAAGTTAGTAATATTTTAATATCAGTAACATTTTGYGGAAAAATTTGAAAGCACATAGTATTAGCTCAATAAAACCTTCCTGTTAGACAAATACCACAGAGAAGAAAATCTTGATTATGAATTCTCTCAGCCAGTGATATTGAATGCAATGCATTTTCTGCTATATTAAAAATCCACATATCTTATTGAAGTAGTTATATGAAGTAGAAGGTACTGGTGAGTAGAAGGCACGGCAAGTTTATTGCTATAATTCAGGGCATGGCTTGCAACATCCTCACTATCTTGGACATACTTGACCTGKGCACCTTGTGCAATGGAACAAACTGCAAAATTGTGCTTTTTCTTGTTTGCTTTCCATTTGTGGCATAGGCAGGATGCTTATGTTGAAGGGTTCCTACATTTTTGCTATTGCAGTAGACAAGAAGGTGCTGCGAACATTTACATACCTGCCATCTCCATAATAGGAGTATCTCATTTCTAAGTGATGGACATAATGAAAGCTGAGACGAGTCATTTAAACATAATTTGGATGTGGGAATGTCAGGATGTACTTTCAGACTGCAAGAATTGTGAATACTGTATGACATTCTGTAAGTTACAAGAAAGGTGGATTGATAGGCTATGGAATGTCAGAATGCATCTGTGACAAATGAAACACATGGATACAGCTAGAAATGGATAGTATTTTAACACAAACATTTATCTTTCTAGGTCATAGCCTTTTCTAACTGTCAGCATTCACAGATTTTTAAGTGTTTTATTTTCAAGTAATAATTATCTCTCCATTTTGTATTGGTTTATAAGGACTTTATGTAAGCATCCAACTCTGTTTCTGAGTAGTCAAACAAATGCCCTACAATAAAACCTAATAAACAAGCCAATTGAAGAAAAAAAGAAATAWCTGCCTGAGCTGTAATAGCAAGTGTGCTAGCACTCCTAAGTTAATTTGAGCACATTTTCAGTCTTTAAACCAAGTGTTCTCATTGTTCACTTCGGTGAAAAGTGTTCCCAGTAAACCCAAACCATTGATGAGATCTGTCTGYAATCACCAGCCCTAGTCAGAGCTCAGAGAGCTGGAGAAGATGGTGGCTTACATTTGCCCACCCAGATTCAGGGTGCCAAGTCTGGCAGATCTCAGCACATGGCCTGAATAAGGAGGCATAAGGCAGGAACAAAATGCATCTTGGCAACTACAAGAATGCGGTGGGAGGCTTTGGTGTTCAAGGAAATTCAGAATCTAACTTTTTCTTTATGGATGGAGCTCTTGCAAACAGAGTTGTGATCTATTAAAGAAAAACAAACAACTCCTACCTCAATATTCATTAACCACAATTAGATTCTCAGGAATACTGCCTTATAACACCTGCAAAGGAAGATAAAAACTTCACTGTGCCCTAAAAATCACACTAAAATTAGTGCATGTGCAAGRTCATTTTGATACATTGCAGAAACATTTTCTGTTCAGACAACAAGAAGTCACCATAGCAGTGCAATAGCCTTGGTTACCCTTCCTAAAGCCGGTAAAGTTTTCTCTTAGCAAAGTATTGGCTGGACAAGCTCTTGAGATTTCTTCCATGGTTTCAAGTCTGYTCCTGAGAACATTTTCACCTTTTAAATTAATGGCAGAGAAGCTTGTAAAATACAGATCAAAGCTGGAGTCAAAACAACCATCATGCTTATGTTAACAAATCTAGGATATGAACTTGTAACTTTAGTACTCAAAATAAAAAATGGTATTTGAGCCATAAATGACGCTTACCTGTTTTCTTGTACCTTATTGAAAATTTTAGCCATGGGTTCAATCTCTGTCTCTCTCTTCTTTAACCATGGATTTTTTTTTTCTGCATATGCTATTAGTTGATTCTAAGAAAGCAAATAAAATGGAAAAGTGCTAAAGAGTGTGTTTTCTAGAAAATTTCTCATAGTCCCTTTTTTCTTAATATCAGATTTTCTGACCTTTCTTGTGTACACATAAAATTGGTTGTGCTAGCTGAAGAGGAAAAGCAAAAAGTTAATGTTTATTAGTCATTATAATATCTGTTTCCATTGTTTTATGGAAACTAAAGCTAAGAAATGGAAAGATCAAATGTCAATATTTCATCAGTTGAAGCCAAAGAGACGACATTAAGTCTTGAATTATCACTCACTTGAATCTTGGCTTAAAAACAGAAAAAAARGCAACTAGAGATTACAGAAGATATATTCAATATTATTAGCTTTAAACAATGTACTGTTTAAGTTTTAAATGTAAGATCACAGTTAAATAAATATTAAGGACCAATTTGGAAAAAAAAAGATTTGATTTTTCATTTTTTAAACAGCCAAGACTTTTGCTGTTACATCCAGAAAGATGGAACAGGTTCTAGTAAGAAGTACTTATAATTTTATAAGTGATGTGAATTTCTTCTCAACTGCTTTGCCTTTTAAGGTTGGCAGAGCCTCTCATATTTGATGAATACAGTTGTCCTAGGAAAGCTCTTCTGTATACGCTCATGCAGGTTCATTTTTCTGCATGAAAATAATCCTTAGTAAAATTTGCATACATCAAGAAAGAGAAACTTTAGAATACATTTAGCATGTATTATTTAATTATTTAATTACATTGTATGACTTACCTAGGGCACAACACAAAGCTACAAGCATTACCTTCATATATCCTTCATTTTTACCTTATCCAAATCTAAGACAAAAATCAAGCYCACAAGACTGGCCCCCAGCACCCCTGAAAGAGCAAGTGCCTTTTAATGCTGTAAATGTACGAGCACCACATGGTTTGTAGGGCTGCTCAGCTCTCCTTTTCTGAAACAGTTGCTATAGAAAATCYATTCAGGACAGCTGTGTTCTTTGATTGAAGTAAATAAGAATACAGGAATCCTCGTTTTTTCATCATTTTACACACACTATTGACAAAAAGCATTTTTGACCTTACTGCTTTACATACACGAAAGCTTTCTAGAAAGGCTTCCTCTTATGTTGAAGTAATTATAATAAAAAAAAAAACCCTTAGAGCCCTGGATTATAAATTTCACACTAGAAACAAGACCTTCCTAATAGCAATGTAGTGAAATGAGGAACAAGATACATGCCCAATGACRATAAACATTAAAGATTTTCTTACAGAAGTATTTAATGCTGATATTTGGATCTGCAGAATAATAATCATTTTGGAAGCCTATTGTATCAGTCTTAGATTCCAGATTAACAAATTCATAATTCATTCATTCATACTTAACACAGAGAAAACATTAAATCTTAGTATACAATGGTTTTCTTGAATTCAAATGCAGAAAATCAATACTTTCACATAGATGTTTTGTTAGCAYTAGAAATTAACTCATCTTCACTTGCACACACACATATACACACATACACTTATATGAAAGAATCTCTAAATATGTATTTTAAATACATTAACATGATGGGTACAGGATCAATTCTAGCAAAGGCAGTTTATTATGCAGCTGATATTAAAATTCAGTGTAGAATATAAATGTTTTCTGTAAAAAAATACAATAAATATATTTTCACAAACTTCCAAAAAAGGATATATTTTTTTCTTCATTCTATGCTAAATAAAATGCTAAAAGTTGTCTTCTAGGTGACAATASTTTTACCAAACTTATTAAATATGCTCTTTATATGCCAATATAAAAAGAACATTCCCAACAGTATTTCTAGCTTTCCACTTTCAAGTAAGTGCAGTGAAAAGAGGTATCATATCTGGTTCAAAAATATTTCAGAAATATAAATAAGGCACTATGATATTAAGCTCTATTGTGTTAATGCAGAATCCTTATCCAGTTTAGACAAAAAGAAAGCACTTTGCAAAATCTATCAAGACAGAGATCTACTGACTCCGGAGAATCAAAAAACGCAACTACTGCTAGTAAACAACTACAACATAGAACATACCCCTCCAACTTCAGTTTGTGATGATATTCTAAAACTCACAAAACTGACTCCAAGTACATTCTTCTAAACCACCTTGCTGCTAAAGTCATGCTGCATTTCAAACAGATTCATCATTGTCAGCAGGAAGCTGGCAGTTTCCAGAAAATAACACACTAAGAAAGACAAGCAGGATATAGCAAGAGTAGARTTGAGCATTTTCATCTTTAACAAGATGTTATATGTGTCTCTGATCAATTAGTTTTAGCACTTAATCCTAATGGGCTTCATGATGAACTTCATTCAGTTTATTCAGTGTTGCTAGAGAATTTGTTCAAGTGCTGTAGGAGGAATAAAAGTCTTATGTATTTCTCCATTAACAACAATTTATCTTTTCTTCATGAAACTTGCCAACATTAACCCAAGCATTAAAACTGATGGAACAGAATTATGGTAGGAAACAGCTGGTTACCTTGGAAGGCATATATTAAAATATTTTATATACTTTGCCAAAGTATTGTGCAAAAATGCTTTACTATAGCTTATGCTGGACGACCTCCATTAGTCATCTTTTGTTTTTCCCTTGAGACATTGCTTCGCTGTAGGTCATGTGAATAAAGTCAAAGAGTTGTGTGGCATTGACGGAATTACCCAGAATTTCAGTAAGTTTGTCCTTCGACAGCGTCACTAGCTCTGCAATGCTTTTAACATGGTTCATTAAGACGCGGCAGTTCTTTGTGTTGACACCTGGCATTTTTAACAAGAAGTCCTGAGGACCGGGGTTATACTTGTCTGACTCCGGGAGAACTTCAGAATCTGCTGTGACAGCCATTGCTGTTTCTGCATCAGGTTGTGGATGGTTTTGTTTTAATTCTTCAAAGAGTTCAGCAGTAGCATGAGGAGAGGGACACCACAGGATACGCAGCTTAGGGAAATGGAGTGTAAGTAGGGTTAGTTTGGAAGTAACATCATTACTGGAAATCTCCGGATGTAGAGAGCCTCGTGGAATCAAGGAGAAAGATTTGTTAGGGTCGAATTCAATCAGGAGAATTGGTCGCTTATAGTAACGGGACATAGAAATGCACTGTGTGTACAGTCTTCCATTATTTAGGGAACCAATAAGATCACTGACACTCTTCCGCTCTACACAGATATCAGGAGTTAAAATGTAATCTCCAACTTCCAAAGTAACTGGCTCAATGTCAATGCCACGACGATGAAGCAGTGAGGGAAGCTCACTACGAAATTCCCGCATATCCACTATTATAGTTTGCTGAACACTCTTCTGTTCTTGTCCACCTAAAAATCAAAATAAATACAGTCAACCTATACCTCTGATCATATATTTTTCCTGTGTGCTACCATAATGGTCAGATTTCACATCTCAAATTATACATCAATTTCAGCAGCACCATAAACCCAGACTTCATTTAGATTCTTACTGTTCTAGTTACCAAAATACACATCATGAGTAATCTCTGCAGTTTAATATAGCAATTATGCATACTTACTATCTGCCCTGTGTGACTGACAAGGGGCTGACCATGTCAGACTGTAGCTGAGAAGTATTTAGAAGAACTCTAAATACATCAAGAAAATGTTTAAAAGTTGTCCACAAAACATCATAATGAAACTGTTCCTTATAACTTTCATCTCTTTCCTAGAGTAATATGACTTTTTATTGCAGAACATGATTTTACCCGCCAGAGAACTGTGAAAGGACATAGGAAGAGCTTGCAGTAAGGAGTGACAAAAGACCTAAGAGGAAACATATGGGACTATTCAGTGAAGGGCAGCAGGATGACAGAGATGTCAGCCAACAGAAACAGGGGCAGAGATGCAAAGACGAAGATAGAGCCTGCGTATCAGAAAAAAAGGAAGAAAAATACAAGAAAAAATAGTTGCAAAATATAATTGTTGCAAAAGAGTTGCAACAAAAGAGAAATGTTTATTGCAAAGTACACAGACAAAATCCACAATCCAACTGATTATGCACACCTCTGGCAAAAATCATGTCACAATATTTACGGGCTTGAGGACAACAATTCTTTTGACTTTCTGCAGAGCTCTGCTCTAAATTCTCCTCACCTCAGTGCAAGCTTTACTATTCAATTTCAGAGTCAACAGGCTGTTTAGAAATAATTCAAGTAGTGCCCGTCTTAATCATAAAATATCTCATTAACCTATACTTTCTTTTCAAAGAAAATTGTAATTCTTTGTTAATGCAGAGAAAGACAACAGAGATGCCATAAGGGACATCATATTTCTTATCCTATCTTTGGATAGGATTTAAACATAGGAAGGCCATAGGCCTGTCTGACAGCTCAGATCCAAAATCCTAACTTTAGGAACTGCTCACCTGCTTTGCGCGTGTCAGTGGAGAAGGATGCAGGAGTAGCATCTCTTACTAGGTCCAAGTTAGTTTCATCTCTTCCTTCCCTCTCTTCAGGGATCACCATGCTGGCCTTCTCTCTATGGAATCACCAAAAAAAAAAAGAACACCACCCCTAAAATCTAGAAATCTAACAAATACTTTTAAACCATATAGTCAGCGGTAAAATTACAACGTTTAACACTGACTGCAAACCTGACAAGAAAGGCAAATTAATTACTAGATTTTCCAGATTGTTAGGGCTAGATTCTATATGTCTATTTTATATTTTTCATATWTTTTTTTAAAGACAGGGCAAGCTAAGGAACTAATCACTAGTCATAACAAGCATCTGGTGAGAAGACATGGTCAAGACGACTGACTGATGCAGTCCAAGAAAATAGCCATTAAAATTCGGGGTTCTGACCTTAAAACTAATTAAATCATGAAAAACCTTACAAATACCTTACAAGCAATACTATCTGCAGATGTAGTGGTTTTCATACGAAATTGGTACAGTTAGAAAGTTACCAGTGGTGCTGAGTAGCCTTCAAATTTTCTTTCTCTATTTTTTAATTAAAAAAAAAAAAAAAAAAAAAAAAAAAGTATGGTCTTTCTTGCTTACCGAATGAGTTTCTCAAAAGCCTCCTTTTCCTTTCTCAGAGCTGTGAGATAGCGCTGTTCTTCTGTAGAGCCCCCATATATGAGGAAATAAACCCTATAGGTTCAAGGAAAAAAAAAAAAACCCACAAAGCTTAATATGAAATTAAACCAGTGAAACACAACAACAAGCAGCAGCACTTAAGACTATTATCAGTGTGTTCAAGAAATTAAAAAGGAGAGCAAGAGACAGATTTCACTGTATGTTTTTCTGTAAATCTATTTCAAACTCATCAGCTAAGAATCCTTTTATCAGTTTCCTTTTTCTCAAAGCAGATATACTCTCTGAAATTCTGTGATTCTACTAGAGTGGATGACTTTTTTTACTCAAGATTGAGTGAGTCCATTCAAAAAAGACAAGAAGCAAGCAACACAAAGACTAGTTCTTATCTCCATTAAAAACGTTGCAGAAGAATGTATCCATGATACTTCGCAACCTAAAACATGTAATGATCTTCGGTTAGGAAAAAACACCATTTAAGATTTAGAACAATTTATCTATACAAGAGACTCCTACACAGGTCCTGCAGAAAACAAGCTCTCATCTGGTACACACATAACTGCCTACAGGTTTTAAGTCTTTTTTTTTGTTTTGTTTTTAAATTGAGGTATACGTTGACAGACTGACAGGATTTTATTCTAATTATTTTCTTGGAAAGCATGAAAATCTCTTAGGCTCTACCTACATTTTACATTTACGACATCTAATTTTTCTTGTTCCTGAGCAGGGATTTTGCCATATGACATGAGAGATGGTTACAATACATGCCAATTAGCCAATTAAAAATTAAYTGTATGTCCAGTAACTACCGTTATGCAATATACTTTGAGAGGTYTGACATTTCTGCTCTAGCCTTACTTGTAAAATTTATACCTGAAGATACTGTTTTAAATAAGAATAGAGTAACTTTCAAGATGGACTCCCGGTAAGTTTGTCTAGGCAAAGACAAACTTGTCTTTGTTATCTTGTTGTTCATGCTATCTTGTTGAAGATGTTGTTGAACATATTACTGGCAGTATTTTTCTTTTACTAGAGAGTAAAGCTACTTTTTAGAATAAATTATGCAGTATGTTTTTGTTTAAAATTAAGGGGGCTAAAAAGGAATTAAAATCAGTTAAAATCATTAGAAGCATGTTCCGAGTTAACTGCCAACAGCATACTTTTTTTTTGCTTTTAAGGCTAAATTTAGACCAATGACATTCCCAGTTATCACCCACTCAAACTTGCCTCAAGGGCTTTCCAGGCCTGCTTGCCTTGTAGATCTCCAGCTGCCGAACAAAACTTAGTTCTGCATCATATAAAACAACATATCTGGGTTCTACTTCTTGCAGTACCCGAGTGAGTGCATAGGGATCACTGCAACCCTGCAACGGATGAATAATAGTGAGGGGTGTTTTGAAGATACCGTAGTAAGAATCTGAGGGCAGGTTAATACAGAAATCTTCAGAAAGAGTCTTCTCAGTATTGTTTTCCTGGCTACTGCTGAATTCTTGGTATTCTTCCACTTCCAACTCCTTCTCTCCATTTCCCTCCTTAGTTTTCGCTATCATTTGGGGTAAAGTATGGTCTTGCTGCTTCTTGCTTTTACTTTCTTTCGAAGAAACCTTCAGTTTGGATTTTTTGTCTTGAGGTCCTGTGTCTGTTCTGGCRCTTCCTTTGGTCTTGGCAGCTTTTGTATCCTTCTTCCACACTTCTGCAGCCTTCTCATCCTTTCCAAAGGTTTTGTTATACAGCCTCGTTAAAAAAGCTTCTGCTCCAGCCGTAATACATTCCTTGAGCTGTGCACAAGCTCGGTCATCACTGGCACAAATMAGCACTTGTCCTGTAGTTAAGAAACAACATTATGTTTATAATCTATTGCCTTGTACTTTTGTTTAAAAAAAAAAAATCAGATACAAGAAGTCTCTTTGAACAAATTTTATCAAGGTCAAATGCCTTCACACTTAGTAGCTGCAGTTGTTGGACTTCTGGAGACAGTCAAGTTGTATGATGTTTTATAGCACAAGTTAATAGAAGGTTCAGGTTATGCGAGTTCCTCACTCCTTATTCTTATACCATCTAAATCAGTAATTTTTTTTTGATAATTCAAAACAAGGCAGATATGGCACGTATTATAAAAAAAATATTTGGAAAACACTTCTTTTTGTAAATTATGGAATAAGACAGAAGTTAGAGCCTGTTTGCTGCATTAAGGAGTCTAAAAGTATTTYAAGAAAATACATTTCACACAGTATTATTGACATTTATAGGCCTTGAATAACAATTCTCCCTAAGCTGACTCAGATAAACTCCTACAGCACTAGGTGAGAGAGCCAGTTCTTATCCACAGCCAGAACACTGTGGGTGGCAGAAAAGAACACTTTTTTACCCCTACTATTTCCCAAAATAAAACTTGGTGAAATGTAAGGGGATGAAAAGACCTAAAATAAGAAAGGCAGCAGAGCAGATAGTTAGAAACACACTTACTTTTTATTCACTATCCAAGGAACTGCACCTTCTGGAGAACTAGTGCAGTTTTTCAGGTGCAGGTGAGCAATGTATGAAATGGAAAGGGTGTAAGACAGAACATTCACTTTATAACATCCTTACCTCTGATAAGTGAATGATTACTGTTTTTCTAGTTCCCTGCCTCTTCTCCCTTATTCAATGGAAAAGAGCAATGCTTGCCTGGACAGTTTAGGAAAGACTACCTTACAGAGCTGAACAGCTCCACAGGCACAAAGCACTTCTTTTTCTATGTTACCTGGTCTATAAGGCTAGAATGTATACACATTGAAACGTTGTTAAAACTAAGACCACAGCAAAAGAGAACTCCTGATTCCTACTGAAATATACTGAGCAGGTAATTGCCTCTGTCTATCCTGTTTCAACTATCAAGGCAAGGGGAAACATAAATGTATCAACCTGGAAGTGGCTGCAGTTCACAGTTTTTCAGAGTAACTTGGAACACAAACAGCTATTCCTAAATCCAGACCTATCCAGCTCCTAAATGCCCACAGAGCCCATATGTCAAATTCTTAACAATTAAATTAAGATACCCACTAAAAGCCTTCTGCATCATGGATAAAAGAAGCTGACTAATTTTTCTGTGAAGTTGTAGATTGTTTGGGGTTTGGATTTTTTTCCCCCTAGAACTTCAACTGAATTGAAGTAAAAAGGAGGAAACATTATCACCTCCTAAGCCCATCTGCAGGAAACTTTCTTGGCTATAACTATTAAAAAAAAGAAAAAAAAAAGTATAGATAAACCTGTCTGCAAGAGACTTCACTACATTTGGGAAATAATACATCTGCAGATCAGCTTCTGCTACTTCTGGTTCTTGAGTGCAGTGTTGTCAAGTTATTCAGAGAAAGGAACTTTTTACCCAAGTTATGGGGCATTTCTTTGTTTCCCCCCCATAACACTGTTCAGAAATACTCACAGAAGCACTTTAGCACAATGGGCAGATGGGTTAAAAAAAAAAAAAAAAAAAAAAAAAAAAAAAAAAAAAAAAAAAAAAAAAACCACACACACACCACCCAGAAACAAGGTTAAAGCAACATGGAAGAGGATGGTAGAGAAGAAATCAATCAGGTTCCATCAAATGAACATACTGGCACAAACCAATGGTGACAATCTTCAGTCAACTCCAGTATTCTCCTAAAGAAAGCTACATTTTAATTTTTTTTTTTTTTTCAGTTTTATAAGCAGCCAATTTTGCATAAAGTCCTTGTCTCAAATCCACCCATTATTAAACTTAAACTAACTCAATAATATGACTGTAGTAAAGAGTTTGGATCCTTTTTAGGCTCCTTTTCTTAAAGGTCACGTAGAAAATGAGCTATATTGTGAAATGATGTTTGGTATTATCTCACCTGGACCACCAAGATCTTCACTGTTCTTATTCTCATTTTCAATTTCTTTCAATACTTCTTGTAGAGCTTCCCATTTTGGATTACTTTCCAGAACCAATTCTCTTTTCATTTCTGAAATAAAGCAAGATTGAATACAGCACCATTTATAACCAAAACACACTTTGTAACTTTACATTAGTGGTTAGATGTTAATAACATCATGATTGTTTGCAAATACGATGTCCACCAGTCTACATTTTCAGTTTGTGCTGTTGCAATAGAACACTTCTATAGAAATACTTATAAGGAGGATAAATTCCTTAATGATCTATAAAGTTTAAATAGTTTCATTCTTCAATTCTTAAACTCTTAAATATTTTGTTTATAAAAGTGACAGCCTCCTACCTTCCCACAAGAAATGAAAAGATCAAGCTAATAAACTAAACAGTTCAAGAACAATACCATAAAATCTCCACAATGAATCCCTGTGCAAGCTGATAAAAACCTTTTCTTGTGACTCTGTTTTAACTTTTTTATTATACACACTCTTTGAACTAAGATAATGTCTCAAAATAACTCAGCAGACTAGGGTCTTATGAGATCATATAAGCAACCATAACACAAGTAAATACACTTGTATTCAAAATCAAGTGACTTTCGAAGTCAAAGTTAAAATCAGGAATGATCAGTACCATTTTCTTTTCTTGCATCATTGTTTTCAGAAACTTTTCTTTTTTTATTCAGGCTGTCATCTGCAGTGCGATAAACTCTGGCTCGAGCATTTACAAACATGGAAGTACTGGAATCAAGAAACAGCCACCCTAAAGATGCAAAGAAAATATAAGCTGTTTGACATTTGCAATACACATTTCAATCCCTTCCAATCAAAGCCCCAAATCTCTCATGTGAAATAGCTGTGCTAGCTGCTTGCTAYGTAATTACTAGTTTAATAGAAGACAGAAATGTGATGCGAATCTCACACTGTTAAGTAACAGCAGTTAAGTGGGAAGATGAAAGCATTATCTGTCAATAAAAACCTACGTCCTTATGGCTGGTTACATAAAACCTAATTAGATGCCTTCATATGCTTGAGAGTGTTAATTAAAAATATTAACATTTCACTTTTTCATGCATTAACTGGTACAGTTATTCAGTGTTTACCTGAATTTTCWCCAAAGGCTTTTTCACTGGCTTTCAGTGACTCCAAAAGATTAAGGAAGGTGACACAATCATACTGGGTTAGATACTGCAGCAAAGTACGGAGCACTTTCAAATCTTGGACTAAAGATTTGGTCTTAGCTCCAAGCTGATGCCAGAGAGGATCCAGATAGTGACGTATTGTCTACAAAAATAAATTTTAAAGTTCAAGACGACAAATATATGCTACAATAATGGAAAAAGGAATGCACTCTTTCTTTCCTTGCAGGAGATATCAGTGGTTTCCCAACCAGTATCACAAACACCCAAGTACAGAAGTGATGGCAAGATAAGAAAGATTACTTAACAAAATAGTTATCTTTTTTTTTTTTTTTTTTTTTTTAAACCAAGTCAGTGTAACATATTGGCAGTTTGCAGATATCTCTATCATTCAGGCTTTCACCGGGTATTTTTCTTTAGCATCTTTATTTACAGCAAAAAGAAAAAAAGTTAACCACAATATAAATGCCACAGACATGCAACCGACAAAGCACAAACATGTGGAGTACAGAATTCCTCATATGAAGCAGTTCCCCATTAAATCAAGGTAATAAGTAATTCTGGTTCACAGTGATGGCTGAAGTTTATTATTTTACCCTACAAAAAGTGCATGTATACAAAATGTATGCAGCCCTGCCAATAATAACAAGCACACAATTAATTACAAATATAAAGAATTGCAAGGATACAACATACAAGGGTATGTTGCATATTATATATACCTAGTAAAGAAGGTATGAGTAGAAAATCTAAGAGAAAAAAGTGCTATTGTACACTTACCTTGAAATATTTTGAGATGACAGCCATTTTTAAATAATAAAATGATATCATATGAAATCATAGCAGTAATAGTAAAGCATGGTAATCAGACTTCAATTTGTGGTTTGTAATTAGAAATTAAATACAATACACTATGTAACTGGGCTGTCATTAAAGCTTGTAAAAGTACAYCCGTATTCATAATTATTTGAACCATCACAGCACCAAGAAACAGATGTCTGAACTGCAGCGATTTTGCAAATGAAAGAACATTAACGAGCCAAAAAATCSTACTGGCAGCTATCACATCACCATTACTAATTAACAGTTTGTGCCCTTGAACCAGTAATTAACGTTGCCAGAGAATATCTGGTTGCTGATGGTATTTATTTGTTTTACAGATTAATTAGACAACTTGCATTATTATTAAACCCAACAAAATAAACAAAAGAGTTACCTTATCAAAAGGTTTACCAATAGCATTTTCTAAAGATAGATCTTCTACTTCCAGAGCTGGATTATAACGTTTGAGTTCTCTCAGACAGGCATTCAAAATATCCAGTATAGAAGTCTGGATAGCAAGCATCTTGGGAGTCATTGACACATGTATCTCTACCACTTCAGGTTTATGCTTCTCTAAAAACGAGTTAACAGCTATATGAAACCTAAGCAGAAAAAGAGCTCATTAAGTTTCATCTGAAGAGTTTTACTTGATGGCATAATTATTCAAAAGTTCACATAAACCAAAATTACAATTGCTTTAGATGTAAACAAGTAAACTAAACGCAAAAATCAACCCATTTCTAAAGAAGCAAACATTGCAACAGTGCTTATGGAGAACCTAAGAAAGTGTCTGTTCTGAGATCATGATTATACCTATTCCAGCCATACAAGCCTATAGTGGTGGTGAATGAACCAGGAAGAATTACTGCACTAGATTCTACACCAAAATTAGAGACAACACATCTCAACATAAATATCACATCTCAAACAAAAATATCTCCCATGGAAGAAAACTTTAATGCATKTATAAATCCTTTAGAATCGCATGGATTCACTAGCAGATCCTGTGCATTCCTCCCCTTCTGTTTATTATTAGAAGGTCCCTGTTACAACATAYCCTCTACAGCCCATTTGTCTGTACAAGTACATAGGGCTGACGGTACTAACAGAGCAAGGTMCAGGAAAGAGACTGACCTTTGAAACTCTACAGGCAGTTACTTTGCTCCAGCCTACACTCTCAGGCATTTTTATGGCTCAAAAGCCATGCATAATGGTAGTTACACCATTTCTGCTTCTTTGTAATACTGAGAGGAAACCTGTTAAACTCTTGACAGTACGGTACAACACAAAAATTAAATCACATTCAAAACTAGGCTAAGGACAAAACAGATGGACCAGCTGCCCAATGCAGGAGCATTGGGAGTAATTGAAGGAGTAATAAGTTAAGGTGACCAGTTTCATTTGTAGCTTTACTCCTGAAAGCCTGAACCCATATAACAAACTTGCCAATTTCCTACACAATGTAAAATTAGAGAAAGACTTAAAACAACCAAACATATATACACAGAAAACTACCTTCCATGTAGAAACAATACCCATGGAATTTCACCACAGTTAAAAGAAAATACTTGCATGACTGGTGGATTTCATAGTCCTTATTCTGGTTACTTCATGGCTTAAATCACCTGTTTAATAAGTGATACTTTCCTTAAGACATTAATATCACTTTCTATGTGATTTCTATTTGCTAATAGGACATGTGTACTACAGGTACAGCCGTTTATTTGGGGGCGGTCTATTTTCAAAAATACTTACAGGAATACATTTTCTTTGAGATGGACTACTTCSTTCTATTAAAAATTGAATTAAAATTGTTTAGGAATGCAACAGAGGGAGACACACATTAGTAGTGTGACTGCATACAGCTCATTTTATAAGAAAAATCTTAATGAATGTTGCTAGGTTTACCTACTTTGTGAAATAAAAAAGTGTCTTACCTTGGCCACAGATAAAGTTTTCTGACAAAAAGACTTCTCATCACTCTTTCCACATGGCAAAAGCCAGTGTTAAATGCAACCGCATTATCTGTAAAAGCTTTAATGAAGCCTTGCTTGTTTTTCTGGCGATAGAGTCGCAAGATAAATGCTTCCTGACAGGATTCAATGATTCTGTGTGCTTTGTATACTAAAATGCCTGTCAAAATAAGAAGTTTTCAAGTTATAAAATATTGAATTTTAGTGGTTCAAACTTTCTGGGGACCATGGAATCCCCTCAAAAGTGAACTGTATTAATGGTAGTTCTTAYGATGGTATATGCATTTACCCCATTATTTGTATCTGGTCAAAATTACCAGGAATCATTCTTCTGTATTACAGAAATTACTATTTTATATTTAGTTAGCTCCATTTATAAGTTCATCAACTGTTCATCCATCTTTAAGTTCATCAATTTGTGTGTGATTCAACAGTGATTTAAAAAATATATAAGAAACATTTTTTTCACTATGATAATTCTTCAAGAAACACTACTACATGTTTTTATGGTGTTTTTTTTCCTCCACACAGYGTGGCACACTAGCAATGCACAGGCTTCCTACAGAATGCAGCGTTATCGTCGCTTTAGATGAAGGAGCTGCACTTTCTATCAAAGACCTCTAGTGGTATGCTGACCCCCAGTGGCAGTATGAAAAGTATAAAACCATTGTGTCATTTTACACACATATATCCCTTTCAAAACATACTTCAAAAACATATTTCAAAACATATTTCAAAAAACTTACTTCCACACATTCAATATTGCATGATATTTAGGCATCAACAAGCTATAGCTTGTTGAAAATCCTGGGTAATAGTCAAAAAACTCTTATATTCCTGCCTCTTAGGTTTTACTATCATCCAGTTGTGTCATCAAGCTCTTACCAGTAATGAGGTCTGCAGGAATTCTGTCAGTGAGGAAATCAACCACAAGGATTCGGCTTGTTGCAAAGAGGACTCCTCCTTGTGTGTAAAATTCATAGCGAATATTATTTGTGATTTCATTGGTAACGCGCCGAGGAAGGTGAGCAACTCCCTCTGACTTCAGCTGATCGATGAAATATTCCTACACCAAACATAGTGAAAACACAAGGYTTCAGTGTGGTARCTGCCTTTTTTTTTTCTTTTCCCCTCCCTTTCAGCAAACAACCCCCTCTATTACAGAACTGTCCACAACAAATTAAAAACACTATACTATTAGTAACAGTATAATCATTACCTAAGAAGTATATATTTGTTTTCCTCATTCTTTGCTCAGTTTAAAAGTTAAGTGACTTAAGAACTGACATATTCCCAGTATCAGTGAGGAAAWTGCTAAGCAAATATGAGTCCCTGACACAGCAATTCTGGTATTCTGAAAAGTTTATCTTAGGCCTTTCTCTCACACTTTTAACTGACCCTCCTCGGAGAAGAGGCGATTTTAACACTGAGGACCCGAGACGAGGAAAGGACCTAAAAAGAGCCTCTTTATCCCCTGCAGCTTCTCCGCGGATGCACCGGCACCCAGCAAGCTCCATGCCCGTGCTTCATCTTATAAAATACAGCTGCCACCCTGACGTGAATCCGCATCTCCAGGCAGGAAGGAGCGCGGAGGCCGAGAGCGGCCGGAGYCGGCCAGGAAAGGAGAGCGGGCGCGCGAAATGGCGGCGGCGTGAAGGGACGGCTGGGGGTACGCGGACACGGCGGAGATGGCAACGATGAAGCGCGGGGGAGGCTGCGCATGAGGCGAGCGACGAGGGGGCAGCGGGGAGACGCCCTGCCCGTGCGCGCGCCCCGCAGCTCCGCTCACCTCCTCAGCGGCGCTCGTGTTGAGCACGAGCACAAGGCTGGCGGGCTCGCAGTAGAGGCGAAGGAAGCGCAGCAGCAGGCGGTCGATGCCCAGCCCGCGGGCGCACACCACCAGCCCGTCGCTGTGGAAGAGGTCCAGGAATATCTGGCTCTCGTGCTCGAGCAGCGCCGCCATGGCCGCCCGCGCCGGCCCGCCCCGCCGTGCGCATGCGCAGCGGGCGGCCATGGCGCGGGCGCGGCGCCCTCTGCCGGCCACGCGCCGTTTCCCCACCCAGAGCGTGAGGCGAGGCCGCGGCACTGGGGGCTCCCAGRTGTCGGCAGGCGGCAAAGGGTCTTCTGCTTTATAGAATTATAAAGGTTGGAAGGGACATTTAGAGTTCTTCTAGTCCAACTCTCCTGCACACGCAGGGTCACCTGGAGCATGTGGCACAGGGCTGCGTCCAAGCAGGTTTTGAAGATCTGCAGAGAAGGAGACTCCACAACCTCTCTAGGCAGCCTGTTCCAGGGCTCTGTCACCCTCAGTGTTAACATTTTTTTCCTTAAATTCCTGTGGAAGTTTTGGTGCTTCAGTTTGTGGCCATTTCCTCTARTTCTATCAGATGTGGCCTCACCAGAGCTGAGTAGTGGGGGATGATCACCTCCCATGACCTGCTGGAAACGCTCTTCTTAATGCACCCCAGGATCCCATTGGCCTTCTTAGCCACCAGGGCACACTGCTGCCTCACGGTCAGCTTGTTACTCACCATGACACCCAGGTCCCTCTCTACAGAGCTGCTCTCCAGTAGGTCAACCCTTAATCTATCCTGGTGTCCGGGGTTATTCCCTCCAAGTTCAGGACCCTGCACTTGCCCTTGTTGAACTTCATGAGCTTTCTCACTGCCCAGTTGTCCAGCCTGTCCAGGTCCCTCTGGATGTCAGCAGAGCCCTCAGGGCTATCAACTATTCCTCCCAGTTCTGTATCATCAGCAAACTTGCTGAGGGGGTACTCTGTCCTTTCATTGATGAATAAATTGATTAGGACCGGAATGAGCACTGATCCCTGGGGGACACTGCTAACTACAGGTCCCCAACTGGATTCAGTGCCATTGATCACCACTCCCTGAGCTCTGCCATGCAGCCAGTTCTCAATCCACCTCACTGTCCACTCATCTATCCCACATCTCTGGAGCTTGCCCAGGAGGATGCTGTGAGGGATGGTGTCAAACGCTTTGCTGAAGTCCTGATACATGACATGCACCGCTCTGCCCTCATCTATCCAGTTAGTCATTCCATCATGTAAGGCTATCAGGTTACTCAAGCTTGATTTCCCCTAGGTGAATACATGCTGACTACTCCTGAGCACCTTCTTGTCCTCCATGCACTTAGAGACAGTGGGCTGGGTGGGCTTGCRAGCTGCGGGTGCCTTTGGTGGCGGCCATGTCGCGTGAGGGCAGCCCCAACCGCAATGGCGGTTGTTGCCATCTTAGCGCCGCCCTTATGCAGCCCCAGGAGAGTTCCCTGGCCTTGGCCTCCCACAAACATTGGCCGTTGAGAGGGACAAATGTTTTCCAGGCCTGGGTTGCCTGTGGCAGCAGAGAGTGCGGGGTGTGTCCTTGGGTGCTGGACGGCTGATGTCTGCTGTCTCTGGGAGAAAGCCGGGCATGGCAGCTTGAGCGCAGCACGCTGGCCGTGTTCCTGCTCAGAATCCTGTCCCTTGGAA